CTGGAAATCTTCTTTTTACGTAGTACCAAAATTGAAAGTTTGGAAGAAACTAAACAAAGGCTCAATCACGATGGCAGAAGACTTACGTGCCCCTACTCCCTCAGTTCATGCATGTTCTCTCTCTAGCTCTCCTTTCCAGAATTTTTATTTAATTTTAACACTTTTTTAATCTATTTCTAAATTAACATGGTTTATTTTTTATTTCTAAAACTAACATTTTTAGTCGCGCCCATTGCCATGACGTCATGCATGGTGACACAACGGAAGGATGACATAGTGAAAACCGAGGACGTTGATCAATGATGTGGTAGGGTCTGCCGCGTTACTAATCTTAGCGCGGCTTTACTGCACCTGATCGGTGACGCGGCAAAGGAATGCAAATCAAAGCTGCTGTGTAGCTGCATATCACGTTCTCGTGTTGGCTCTGCTCTCTCTCAGCCCAGCTCTCGTTAAATATATTGAATTAAAAAAAAATAAAGCCGACTCAAATAAAGCCAACTAGTCAAGCTACCTGTTTAATTTTTAACACGTGCTTGCTGCAGCAGCAGCAGCTTGAATTGCGTGCCTCGCTAGCTGCTCTGGTGCATGTGCATGTGTAGACATTGTGCTGAGAATTCAAGAGCGTGCTTAGTTCCACCTCAAATTTTCAAAAAGTGTTATAGTACCTATTACATCAAATGTTTACGGTCTATGCATAGAGCATTAAATATAGGTGAAAAAAAACTAATTGTACAGTTTAGTGAGAAATTACGAGACGAACGTTTTGAGCCTAATTAGTCATGATTAAATACTAATTACCAAATAAAAACAAAAATACTACAGTAGCCCAAAATTCCAACTTTCTGACACTAAACACGCGCCAAATCAAAGCTGCTAGGCTCCTGCTCTCTCCCCGGTTGATGGGATTTGACGATCTGGGTCGCCTGACGATGGCTCCTGCTCTGAAAGCTCCAGCTCCGATTAAAGACAGGCCTTGTTTAGTCGGTGTTTGATCGAGGTCTAAAATCGGGTGTCAGATACGGTGTTATAAAGGAGTTATCGGATAATAATAATAAAATAAATTACATAAATCTTCAGTAATTCATGAGATAAATTTATTAAACATAATTAATCCATCATTAACATATGATTACTATAGCACCATATTATCAAATTATGAACTAATTAAGCTTAAAAAATTCATCTCGCAAAGTAGTCGTAATCTGTACAATTAGTTATTTTTTTAGTTTATATTTAAAATAACTAATTGTATAGATTGCGACTATTTTGCGAGACGAATTTTTAAAACTTAATTAGTTCATGATTTGACGAAATTTTTAAACTTAATTAGTTCATATTTGTTGTTATCTCTATGTTCCATTAGTGTATCACGATAATAGATTAGAGAGGGTAGCAAAATACTGATCTTGATATGGAGTACCCTACCTCAAACGTAGATGAGGGTCTTTATCGCGTTGTGCGCTAGTGCCGGTTGCAAATAGGGGGTCATTTGCGAATAGGACAAATTTCAGGACACTTATAAATACGCTTATTCTAGAATAAAATTTAAATACTTGAAGAGAGTAACTCCTTTTGCCTTGTACTATAAATTAGTTACTAGTTCTAAGGACCTGTTTGACAGGGATCTTGCGGCTCTGGCTCCCGCCCCTGTCGGCCGCACACGGGCTGATACGTGCCAGGCGGAGCCGGAGCCGCGGAGCTGCGGAGCCCGAAAAACGAGCTTCGTCGGCTCTGCCTGGGTTTGTAAGAGGAGTAAAGAGGAAAGAGAAAAATGGCTCTGGCTCCCTGTCGGCCGCGGCCGACAGTGGCGGGAGGCGGGAACCGGAGCCCGCAGGAGCTCTGCCAAACAGGTTATAAGTTAACTCCCTCAATAGTGCTAACTTTAGCAAATAGCTCATTACATAAATTGTTCCGTATGATATAATCACGTTAGCTTAAAATGTATGTACGAGTACAGCTCTTAGCTTAAAAAAATACGATAAATAATTAGATCTAGCTTACGAGTGAGGTGTCCAGACCCACGTTGTGAAATCCAATCAACCGGAGAGAGAGAGCAGGAGCGAACCTGAGGACGCCACATCGCCGGTCCGTGACACCAGGGCCTTGTTTAGATTGTGAATAATTTCAACCCGATGAATAGTAGCACTTTCGTCTTATTTGGTAAATATTGTCTAATCGTGGACCAACTAGGCTCAAAAGATTCATCTCGTGATTTTCAACTAAACTGTGTAATTAGTTTTTTTTTTTACCTATATTTAATACTCCATGCAAGCGTCCAAAAATTGATGTGATGGAGAGAGAGTGAAAAAACTTGGAATTTTGATGTAAACTAAACAAGGCCCAGCTCGACAAGAGCACGACAAGGAGCCGGCTCAAGAACGTCTCACGGTTGTACAGAATCTCTGGAGCTTTCAGAGCAGGAGCCATCGTCAGGCGATCCAGATCGTCAAATCCCATGAACCGGCGAGCGAGCAGGAGCCAACCTCAGCAGCTTTGATTTGGATTCTCTCAGCACAATGCCTACACATGCACATGCACCAGAGCAGCTAGCTAGGCACGCAATTCAAGCTGCTGCTGCTGCAGCATGCACGCGCCCGAAAGTTGAGCAGGTACGTTGGCTAGTTGGCTTTATTTTTTTTTACCTGAGGCTTTGTTTAGTTGCTGAAATTTTTTTAGTAAATGGTAGTATAGTATTTTCGTTGTTATTTGGTAATTAGTGTTTAATCATAGTTTAATTAGGTTTAAAAGATTCGTCTCGTGAATTTCGTCTAAACTGTGTAATTAGTTTTATTTTTTATTTATATTTAATGTTTCATGCATACGTTTAAAAATTCGATGTGATAAAAAATCTTGAAAAATTTTACAAAATTTTGAGAACTAAACATGCACTGACTTGAGTCGGCTTTATTTTTTTAATTTAATGTATTTAATAAGAGCTGCAGCCATGCTAAAAGAGAGAGCAGAAGCCAACACGAGGACACGATGTGCAGCTACCCACCAGCTTTGATTTGCATTAGTACTCTGCCATGGTCATGCAACTTTAACCGAGCATGACAGAGACGTACCAAGATCAGTGGCGCGGTAGACTCTGCCACGTTATCGGTTAGCATTTTCAGTCTTCGTTATGTCATCCTCCCACCGCGTCACCATGCATAGCGCGGCACATATGTTTCGCCGTGCCATGGTAATAAACGCGGTTAAAAATATTAGTTTTAAAAATAAAAAAAACAGTATTAAATTTAGAAATAATTTACAAAAAAATGTTAAAATTAAAAAAAATCCCTTTCCAGACTTCTCTACGGACAGGGACAGCCGCTCCTCTCTACTAGTACTACACCTCCTCCCATCCATCTGTTTTTTTTTATTTCTTTAATGCTTGTTGCAGGAAGGAAATTAAACAAAATGGACCTCGAGTGTAGTGCACAAGCAGTGCGCTTGATCTACCTGTCCGGCCTTAACATGCAGCCTGTTCGCTTGCTCTAAACGATCGTAAATTTTTAGCTGAAAACAGTGTTTTTCTCTCACACCAAACCAGTTAGCAGTAAATAATTCATGATACAATACGGCCTCCCGAACAGGCTGATGGTCTGTAAAGCAGCGCAAGGATCATAAAAAAAATAAAGGAACCGGACGCAAAGCTGTTTTCGATCCAACTCCACCAATAGGGACAAAACCCAGCGAGTAAACTGAATACACGGTTGTATATAAAGGTGGCACGCACATGACGACATGAAACCAATACATGTTACAATCAAATTATAGCGGCTCACAATTAAGTGTGCCACCCACATGCCATGAACGCATAACGACGCACAAATAAACATGGGTAGTATGCTGTAGCTGCTGGATTCATTTCCTCTGCTTCCTGACGCGTCCAGCACACATATGTAACTTTCGTCGTCGTACACACAAAGCAGATAGCGGCTCATTAGTCGTCCTGTAGGGCTCTCTCTATCAGCATGTTCGCTTGTCGGTTCAAACCAGCCAGCCAACAGTATTTTTCTCTCATAATAAATTAACACCAGTCAGTTTAAACCAGCCCAGAAACCAACCAACAAAAAGACCGTATATTTATTTTTGTGGCCGACAGGCAGACGATACATTTTTTGAATGCTCCAAAGTCCTTAATTCTAATTATAGGACAGCGGGAGTACGGTGCAAGTAGTAGTGATCCGTATGGAGCCCTCAAAGAAACAATTAGACTGACTCCAACAATACTACCAAAACTAAAAAATAAGTCTTGCACAGTGCCTTTGCCTATCATATACCGGCTCCAACGGGTAACCCATTCCCACGACGCAGTTTGGCTACCGGCCCAAAGGCAACGCAAAAAAGCGTCCCCTCTCTCCTCGCTACGCAATTCTCCGGAGCTCGCTTGCGGAAAGGAATGGCCGAGCTTCGCTTCCCTCTCACCCGCCTGGGAGCACCACCTCGGCCCGCCGCTCGCCATGCAGCACAAGCTGAGCCGGCGTAGCCTTGGGCCGCTGCCGCCGTCGGGGAACTCGAGCTCAAGCTCGCGCGCACTCCCGGTGGTGGATCCTGCAACGACCACGCGCGGGGACGCTCCCGGCGGCGGCGGTGCATCCTTGACGGGCGCAGGTGCAGGGGTAGCCTCACGACGACAGCGGCGCATGGGATCCGCCCGAAGCACGGCTGCGGCGGCACTCGTCCCTCAGATCCGGTGGCAACACTCTTCTCCATCATATCCGGCCTGGCCGAGGTCCTCTAGGCGGCGGCGAGCCAGATCCTGGCGGTGCAGGGAGGATCCGGTGACCCTGCAGGAGCAGCGCCCTCTCTTCATCTTCCTCCTGCGGATCTCGGTGGCTAGCGGCGGATCCGGCACCGGTGCAGCTAGAGCACCTCCACCGCGTCGAAGCACCGCCGGGGCCGAGCGTCGAGGCTGCCGCGCGTCGCCGTGCTCTACCCTGCTCCATCCCTTCCCCTCCGGTCTGCCTCTTCCCTTCTGCCCTCCTCCTCTGCTCCGCTTTCTCTGATCTGCCATGCGGAGCGTGGAGTTCGACCTCGCTGTCACCGGGGACGACGTGCGGCGCGGGGTGGCGAGGGTGGCGGCCGCCGTGGAGGGCTGCGACGTGGGCGTCCTCGTCAACAACGCTGGCGCTTCGGGATGGCTCTGCTTTTGCGTCGCTGTTTTTTTTAGGCCGTTGGAGAACGCGAGGTTTGGGTTCGGGACCTTTTCACTGTGCATGACTCAAAATATCGAATGAGTGTTCGATTTGGGTATGTTCGGTTGGAGATAGTCATATAGCAAGAAAAGTGAGAATCAATATATTAGAAAGTGGGATGGTCTGGTTTCTTTAGAGATAAGTTGCACGAGGAACACATACGTAAAGTCACAAAAAATAATAACATATGACGTAGTCGATGGGTTGTGTAGCGTGTTCGGCTGATGGGTTGCAGAGTAGATTTCGGATTATTTCGGATGATTCAATAGTGTTCTGTAAGAGGGAATAAACTGAAACAAGCTGAAAGTAGTACAGCCGAACCGGAGCTTTTGGGTAATTATAGCACAACTTTTTTAAGTTTCAAATGTAAAGTCGTCATGCAAAGTAGGTGATAGTGGAGGGCAATTCTCTTATATGGCTGTGTGTGCTACGTGAGCAGTCCGGTAGAAATGAGACAGATATAGGAAGCGGACCAAGCAACCTGGAGAGGCCAAATCCATGCATGGACACGCACAAATCCACACGGTGGGCGCGCTACGCTGCGCCGGCTTTTGTCACGCGCAAAATGAACAGTGCGACAAACAGTGACTGGGGAACAGGGAAAATGGCATGCAAAGTAGGGGATAGTGGAGGGCAATTCTCTTTATGGTTGTGCTATGTGAGCAGCCCAATAGAAATGAGACAGGTAGAGAAAACGGGCGAAGCAATCTGGAGAGGCCAAATCCATGCGTGGCCGACCGCATCTGTGCATCCGCTGCCGTCGAGGCCAAAGCCGGCCAGATCCGCTCGGTGGGCGAGTGAGCGTAGCGGCGGCGATGGGGAGGAGAGAGAGAAAGGGGGTTAGGGTTTGAGCCGAGTGGAGGGGGCTCTCCGTAAAATATCACCCGAGGGGGTTTATGTAAGGACGAGACAATTTTTGGGGATATTTAACTTTTTGCCACTCTTATGGTTGGCACGAGCTCAATTGCCACATTTTCACGCGGTCCTAATTTTTTGCCCCAAACTGACCAAAACTTCTAGTCTGTAGAAATTTTGGCGGCGTGGCACGCCCAGTCAGCTTATCAGCGTGGCAGGTGCACGCAAAAAGACCTTGCTGCCCCTTGCCTTATCCCTTAACCGTGTGGGCTCGCTCCCCATATCCTCAGATGCCCCCGTTCTTCTTCCTCTCCAACGGCTCCTTTCTCTTCTTCTCCACCGGCAGATCGAAATGCCACACTCTTCAGTGCACTCCTACTCCTTCTTGCTGACCTCGCCATCCGCTGCGCCATGTCTTCCCCTCGCTAGCGGGGAGAGTCGTCGAGGCAAGGGAGCAGGGCTTCTCGGCCGATGGCTAGACCGGCCGTTTGCCCTAGGCGCCGCATCTTGGTTGGAGATGAGATCGGGCTCCCACTGATCCAGTGCCCTGAGTGTGGTCAGGCTCGGGTCATCAAGCTACGAGCATGGACAGAGAAGTATGGTAGGGTTTTCTTCAAGTGCCCGACGAACGTGTAAGGGGTGAGATCTGTTTGCGCCTGATCTCGTTTCTTATCCATTTTTCCCTTTTTTTTTGCTAATTGGGATCTTCATTGGTGAGTTTGAAGCTCATTTTCATTGATATGTTTTTAGGATCCAACTACATGTCCCTTCTTCGAATGGCAAAAATAAGTACCTGAAGAAGATGGTTGAGCTAGGCAAGGTGACACTGCACGATGTGGCTGCTGATGATGAAGGAGGAGAGGTTGAAGCGAGTCTATTCCATCCAATGCTAGGCAAATACAATCACAGATGGAGAACTTGATCTCAATTGTGAAGCTGTTGGTGTTGGTTCTTGGTGGACTGCTAGTTGTAGGGATTATGTACCTTATCAAGTAGTGTTTGGGTGATATGTAATTTGGCAAATGCCGATGAACCTGATGTACCTATGAACCACATCCTCATGTATGGATCATGTTATGCCTAATGCATTTGATTCAGCTGCATGTTGTGGTTTACAAACTGAATATGATCGTGCTTGAAAAATTGTCCACAAACATGCAGTTTGCAATAAAAGGAGTAAGGCAACACATCCATTACATGTTCCAGCAACATCGGCACTAAAGTTTGCAGTCTTCTAGCTAACAAAGTTCAGCAGTTGCTAATGAGAGCTGTAGGGCAACAAAGCCATTATCCCAGCCATTACATGTTTGTTGCCAGTACTGGCAGCACAAAATAGATTACACAGCCATTGTTTGCAGGTTTTCAAGGCTACATAGCCATTACAAAATAGTCCAAATTCAGACTTCTTGCTTATCAAACAGATTAGGTCTTGGTTGGACTGGCCTTCTTCACCTTCGAAGCCAACTGTTTCTTCCTAGGCGTCATCTTCTTAGCAAGTGCAGGGTGATCTTCACATACAACCATCTCTAGTGGTACAAGCTCATCTAAGGGCAACCTCCTGGATCGTGGGATGCATTGTTAGGTAATTGAACCTATAATATGGACCAAAAACATGGAAACTGGATGAAACATACCTCTTAACAGGTGGAATTGGAGTTGGTTGTGCTTGAGATTCAGCTTCAGCTGTTGCTACTGCTTCCCTAGCAGTTGCTGCCCTTGTTCTTGGAGTATTTGGAGCTAGCTTGGAGGGAGAAGGTTGCTTGGATGAAGAACCTTCCTTGGGTGCATCAGTCTTCGACTTCTTCCTTTCCACTATTGATTTAGTCTTTTTGGTCATTTTCCTACATTTTCAGTTAGTTAGTACAGATTATTAGTACAACAATGATGTAAATTTGGTTAGAGTGATACCTTTTCTTAGTGCTAGTAAGGGAACAGTTGGAGCTTCCTTTCCTATGCCCAAGATCACCACAGCCATCACACTTTGATTGTCTTGTGGCTTTTCCTATCCTCTCCAAGCAAGATAAAATCCTTTTCTTCCTCAGCCTTCTAGCAGTTTTCTTTTTTGGCTTGACAACTGGTGGCTGCAACTTGAAACCTTTGTCCACTTGAGGCAACTGATTCCTGTTAATGATGTTTGGTATTACTCCTGCATATGTAGCTTTAAATTTCTCAACTGAGAAGGCCATGTCTATGTGTTGTTCCATGTTTGGGTTTTTCTCTGTGGTGATGACTGCCAATGCAATGCTGGCAGGGCTTTTCACTAGCCTCCCATTCTCTACAAGTGCATATTTTCTGATCTACGTAGACAACATGTCTTCTCACTTCTTTATCTTTGTACACTACTGACATCTCTGCTTGGTTTTTATCCCCTTTTGTGGCCTTCAAGTGCCCCAATTCTTTTGATGCAGCATTCATCTGATGAACCACAGTAGGTAGTATAGTTTCCTTCAGAGCTCATCTTTCACTTCCTTTGCACCCATCCCTGGTTTCCTCTTCAAGAGTGGAATAGCCCTTTCTGCAATCCATGCTTGAGATGCCATCCTACCTTCAACTCTGCTTATTGATGGACAATTATGCTCTCTGTCATGTATGAAAGCATCTAGGCCCCTAAGTGGATTTCGGTGATTAATGTCAATACAAGATTACTATGACTAACGTGTGTTTTGCAGAGGCAATTAAGTTAGGTCATGGTAATGGAGATCGATTGGGCAATCGAGGTTGTCATGCCCCTACGATGGAAATCGTTTCGGTTTTCAAAGGATGGACGACAAGGTTAAGGATAACTAGTTCTAAGTGTCAATTGAAGTTGGAGAGACACTTAGAGTAGTTTAGGACTTTGTTTTTCCTTTGGCCGTTCTATGAAGGGGGGTATGAACTGGTAACTTGACCTAGTTGAGTCTAGTGAGTTAGGTGTGGTGCACACTTGTTACAACTAGCTCTAGGTAGCTCCTATGATTGCCTAAAATCCTTTGGAGCTAACTTCATTCACATATGATTGAAAGTTGGAAGTGAATGGAGGGTCAAATACTGACCGGACGCTGGCTCCGGTGCGACTGGCCGCAGGGTCCGGTCAGTTCATTTGACTGAGGAGGACAAGTCTGGAGTGACCGGACGCTGGAAGGTCGTGTGACCGGACGCTGGGGGCCAGCGTCCGGTCGACTCCAGTAAGGGTCCAGACTTGAGAAAGTGTGACCGGACGCGTCCGGTCAGTGGTGACTGGACCCTGAGTATCCAGCGTCCGGTCGTTTATAGTAAGCATCCAAGAGTGACTGGACGCGTCCGGTTAGTGCTGACCGGACCCTGTCAGCGTCCGATCATCACTTGGAAACTGTTGCGCGGGTTGAACTGACCGGAGCGTCCGGTCAATATGATCGGAGCGTCCGGTCATCCCGCAGAAGCTCATAACGGTTCGTTTTTTAGGCTGCCTTATAAATAGAAGCTCCACTCGTGTGTGGAGTTACTTTTGCTCATTCCAACAGCTGAGAAACACGTTTGTGAGTGCCAAGAAGAGCAAGGTCCTAGTGAGGTGTTTGTGATTTGAGAATCCAAAAGTGAAACCTCATTAGTGAATCAAGAGTAGACAAGTGTGCATCCATCTTCTCATTAGGCTTCGTGTGGTCAAGTGAGAGTTCGTGCTTGTTACTCTTGGTGATCACCATCACCTAGACGGCTTGGTGGTGATTGGGAGCTTGGTGATCACCCGGCGGAGCTTGTGGGTGACCCAACTCAAGTTGTGAGCGGTTTTGGGTGATTCGCCGCGATGGAGTGTTGAAGAATCAACCCGTAGAGAGCACTTGATCCTTGCGCGGATCAAGGGGGAGCTACACCCTTGCGCGGGTGCTCCAACGAGGACTAGTGGGGAGTGGCGACTCTCCGATACCTCGGCAAAACATCGCCGCGTTCCTTTCTCTCTCTATTTACTTTGAGCACTTACTTTGAGTATTTACTTTGAGCAATTTAATACTTGTTTCACATCCATAGAATTGCTTGCTAGAGTAAGTTTGGAACATAGGTTGCGAGGTTGTTGTGCATTAGTTTGACATAAACACTTTTCTAGGCACAAGGGGTTAATTGGGCTATCCGTAGGATTTGATTATTGAAATAAAATTTAGAATTAGCCCAATTCACCCCCCCTCTTGGGCATCTTGATCCTTTCAATTGGTATCAGAGCCTCGTGCTCACATTGT